CAAAACTTTGCTACACCATCCATAGATTTCCATAAGTCTTTGATAGATAGTTTACTATGTCATTTCTACGAATTTTTTTTCGTACATTTTGATTCTACGAATATAGAATATGGTTTAATTTATGAATGTTTGAATATTTTAGTATTATATGACTTTACAACAGAATTTTTAAACTCCCACAACACTAAAGATATTGATTGCACTAAGTAAATCAAAATGGGTAAATCGAAAAGTGACATATACATTTTAAGTATTACTTCAAAAGGGTTCAAATTGAGATACGTAGAACCTGGACGTAATAAACGATCAATTTGTTGCTTTGAGGTTAACACCGAATCCTTTCTCTCAGTTTCTTTTAACTAAAATGAAAATAACGACTTGTTTCAAAATTTCTAAAATAATCACCCTTTACTGTCATGGATAATCTGCAATTTATTATCTTGAAGAGAGCAAAGTTTAAATTTCTATAGCGAAATTACGATTCACCCAAACAAATTTTTTTCAGTCATATATTTTCAAGTATTAGATTTCTTGAGTAGATGTAAAACTAACATCACTGTAAAATCTCTCAAAGTCGGTAGCATCTCCCATTGTACATCAAGATTCACCAATGAAGTATATATCGTCCAGTCTGAAAATGCACAAATCCAGTGAACAAAAATTAATGGTCACAACGAAGCAACTATCGACACTCAGAACCGAAGGTACAGCTGATGTTATATATTTTCAATCTACCCAACCCACTTTTGATCTCGCCTTAACCTACCCTTTTATTTCTAGCTCTAGATTAAATACAGAACTCGCCTTTTCCGTAAGTTTAATTTTAAGCGAGCATAAAAAATAATTACTTCATTTACAATACAGTAAACTCGAAAAAGAAATGAAGGCAAAAGTAACATGAGGAATGTCTAAACAATAAACAACGTTTGAAATTTATTGCTCTCAAGAAATATTTGCATTAATGAAAGCATCTTGACAAAAGAATTTTTAGCAAAAATTCTTTAGAAATTTATTTCACGACATGCTGTAAGGGAAGAGATGTGAAATCGCTTCAAACAAAAACAAATGAAACGATGTTTAACAAAAAACACTAATTAATAGATATTATAATACAAAATAAATAACAAAGAATTAATTTGTAAAAACTTCTGAAGTTTAGTAGCATAAGAAATAAATTCAAAAATAATGAATAAGTGCATTGTATTACTTTATATGTAAATATTAAGAACAAAATGAAAAACATGTAGTAACATATGTATATTCGGTATAAAACCACATTAAGCGAATATCTCTTTCCGTTAATCCATTACTACACAGTTAATATAATGAACCTACATATCTATAAATAAATAAGAAATATATCAACATAAAAAAGGCCTGAAGAGTGAAAAATAAGACTATGACGGGATAATATGACTGGAACTACTACTACTGAAATCAATGACGACCTTTCTGTTAGAATGAAACTGTCGGTAATGCACCTAAAAAACAGCAACAAGTTATGCTACATATTTTATGCAATAATTTCAAAATTTGCAATCGCAATATCTATTAAGCAATTTCTTTTTGAAGTGAATTTCTAAAACTTGAAATATAATAAGTCAAAACGGTGTATTCTTGCAAACAAGCTTCAAAATAATCAAACTGTAAAACAGCTTTTACATTGAACTAGTATGTTACTCGATATCAAGTACATTAAAACAAATTATTTAGTATCATACTCGTTCACTATATAAATTAAACTGTTTTTTAGTAGCATGAAATTACATTATAAGAAATAAAATGAGTGATGTATAAAAAATATATATCGTCCTAAGCTGCTGAATATGAATACAACCAACCCCTGCCATATCGAACATTTTTTTTGAAGCAATCGTTTGCACTTTCTGAGGTCGCTCGTTTTGATATACTACTTCACTAATTCCAGCCTACTATTGGAATTCAATGAAAACACAATTACTTAAACAAAAGTGATGAGTAGTTGTAATACAGCAAAATATAAACAGTAATGAAAACAAAAGACACACACGAAAAAATTTTAAGGCCGAAAAAGTCATCAAAAATATAAATTTGTCCCATTTTTTCCACTACTTCAATGAATAAAAAACCTTACTTGAATAATTAATTTTGCGCATTCATTGCAAGGGAACAAAACAGTGTATATTGTTGAGCCTTTTGTTGAATAAAATATCTTGTTTAATATAGCGTTCATTTCTGCATGGCACACATATGCACTTTTATTTTCTAAAAAATCTGAACCTTTCTTCCATGGCAAAAGATTATCCGAGCAACCGTTAGGCATTCCATTGTACCCAACACCGACAATTCGTTTATCCTGATTCACGATTACAGCACCTACCTGAATGGTTTCATTTATATCGAAATGATATTTCTGATGGAACAGTATTTTCCCGTTATAAGTTCTCTTTAATCATTTTGCATTAGTATGAAATGAAAGAATATGATTTTCCCTCACTAACTGTACACAAGCAAAAAAAAAAGCGAATCCATAGCTATTCTAATTTTAGAAACAAAAACGGAAAATCAGACAACAAATACACCTGCGTAACTGGATCTTTACTTCGTAATGCAGCAATATGCGCTACAGCCATAAAATACTCTTCCCAACTAAGATAGTTTTCTCGTTTACCCACATAGCTATTTAAACTTGGTTGAGAATCGCTAAAAAGACATTCTGAATGAACTTTGATGACCAATGCAATGCAAATATTAAATCTCACAAATGAAGCAAAACAAAATGCGCAGGTCAAAAGTAATGCTTTTCTTAACTCGAAATGCGTCGCAACTTAAGCTAGTCTAAGAATGTGCAATAAAAAGTATTTAATTTGATTTCCAAAATTTTTACACTAGTAAATTTGGCCTAAACATCAATAAACTGAAATAATTTCTAATTCAAACGAATACAAAACATGAAATGATATAAATGCGACAATTAAAACAAAACTAACAAGAGTTTAAAACACTTACCTCATCGTGTTGTAATCAGAATTATCTTCCCACAGCCTTGTTCTTTCAGACCACAGATGCATCCGTCTCAAATATACAAAAAACAAATAAAAAATAAGTAGCACTTTGCATACATTAGTATAAACTTATTTTAATACGGTCTCATAATGAAATTTAACAATCCGTAGTTGTAGCATTATTTTATACAATATTTGTTGCTCATAATTTTCCCTGTTAAACTATGATTTTTACAATTAAATTGTAGATATAAATTTGTTTATACTTTAAAGGAGTTGAAATGTTCTTTCAATATTACAAAAAAAAAACTACTAACTATAGAATAATGTTAATTGAGGAAAAAATATATGCACGCAATTTCTTGTGCTAGCCATTGTTGTTAGATCCAATGACCTGTTTTTTAACTCTAATATCAGCTGAGTTATAGTTGTTTTATACAACGATTTTTGTTCATTTGAGTCAAGTTAAATTAGTAATTTTGTTTGTTTTAAGCATAAAATATGCATATTTTTTTGACACTGCAAAAAAAATGAGCTGTGCAAAAGAAGCATTTTCATGCCAATGTCCTAAAACGTAGTGGTTACTGTGTTTTTTTTAAATTTGAAAGTTTATTAATTCGAAAAAAATTTGGAATTGAAATATCTTCAAATGAACTAAAGTTGTTTGCATCAATTTATAAAAACTATGAACACGGAACTATCTAAATTTTTTTCAATGAAATTAGAAACATTAAATTGTTCTTCACTGAATATCAGACTCCCATTAATACACATGACTGCTATTAAATTGAATTTTCCGTGCCACTTACTCATCATACAATGCATTACTTTTCGATAAAGTATAATTTATGCATATTTTTTGTCAAAAAATAACTGCCATCGATTCGTGCGAAAATTTTTCAACATTTTGTAGTAAAAATTTTTATTTGTAATTAGTTTAGCACTGTCATGTAATAAAGTTTATAGATTTCAGTGTGGCATAGACGAAGACAGATTATATACATAGCAATGATTAAATATGCGTAAAGTAAAATATGATATGCTCATTTGGAATGGATAATTAGCAAAAATAAACAATCAAAGCCGAAGGAAGAGAAAAATTGAATGAGTATCTTGAAAGCTAATGACATTTGTGAAACTGAAAACGAATACTAAAACTGAGAAAAAAGATAAAAAGCAAATCAAGTCAAATGCTTGTATCAAAATGACTGAAAAATACGAAACTGCTTACTGACGCTTCACGCTAAAAATCAACGTAAAATCCGATCATATTGATCTATAAATTTAATTATCAAAATTATTTCACTGTCTGTCATACATAAATGTAATCAAAATTCATCCAGGCATTCAAATTTCTTTATAAACATGAAAAAAATTTGAATTATTGTAAAAAATTTCAATTTGTATTATTTAATAATTTTTAAAATTCAAATAATTGAGTGAAATAACTTTAAGCGAAATTTTTTGATTTTAATTTTAATGAGTGGGAAAGTGCGTCATTTTAAAAGTAAAATTTGTAGTAAATTTGATGAGTTAAAGTTTGTGCTTGCAAAATGTCAATATGGTTCAAATTTATTCAGAAATTTTTGTATTATATATTGAAAAATAAGTGAACGAAATATATATCACGTCAGTTAAGTTCTAATTTTTATCAGAAAATGGAAACTAAAGAAATTTTTAAAGCTTTTAATCTTTTTAAAGACTGCGTTGAGTTGTACCTTCAAGAATTTATCACGCACTAATTTTTTTGCTACAGATAATTATTTTCCGCTAATTATTTTATCGCTTTTCAGTTTTTAATCAACTATATATTTTTCCAGTATCAAAGCTTGAATTATTTTTATTTAAGACTGACTGCATTCACTTTTAACTTCTAACTTTCAAGTATAAAATAATTATTCTCAAATTTCTTACAATTTGGGGTTGTAAAAAGTTATGCTAATTAATTGAATGAAATAGCCATTATCAGTCTACCCAAAAGTTGTACCAAATACAATTTTTTAAATGGTCACATTTTAATCTGAAAAACGCAAAAGTTCGACATGGCTTATCAAATATTTTTGAAGAGAATAATTTGATAAGGCTGCCAAGCCTGTTGTGCACAATTATAACAAAGCAACAAAATAAAAATAAATAAGTACACAATTAAAATATTATTGTATTTCATTTCTTAAGCAAACAAACTTTCAAAAAAGTCAATTAAGCATTAATTAGACATCAAATACTTAAAAACTCTTTTGCTACATCAATATTATAACACAATGACAATCAAATATCACTTATAAGCTCGTAAAGATTAAGCTTGTATTTTGACAAATATCTCTGACAACTTTTCAAATTCAATGCCACTCAAATATATTTATTTACTCTGCAGAATTTCTGCATGTAAAATTTAGCAAGCAGAAAAAATATTTATCTCTCTTTCAGCTCGCAAACACACAGTCATCAATCATACGATACACTCACTCACTCATTCATTCAAGTCAGTCATTTCAAGTCGTCTACGCGAAATGTTTCTGATCTAAAGTAGCTGTATACATTTTGTTAGATACTCACTTATGCAATAGAAAGCTTTCACTTTTGCTGAGAAAAGTAATGCGCGAGAAAGTTAAAAAGTTGTCTGTTATAATTTGCAAAAATGAAACAGCAGCCGATTATAAGGAAAACAAACAGATTTTTGATTTTACACTGTGATTGGCATCTGTTTGTGCTTAGCGTGTACTTCAGATAAAGCAGGACATCCTTGCTACTACCAGCCTTGTACAACAGATTTCATCTCGTGTGACTGATACAATCCGCGCACTGGTCGATATGCTTCATCCTAGAGCAATTTTGTATTCGATTGAAAAATGACTTTTTTGCATGCAAGATATTAAGAATGGAATTTGAAAGCATTGCTTTTTTAAATATACTTTTTGAATAATAATTCTATTTTTTCAACATTATTTTTGAATAATAATTCTATTTTTTCAACATTTTTGAAATTTGTTTGCAAAAATCAAAATTCAATTCTATCCAAATTTCATTAATTCAACGAATTAGCATTAAATTCTGTACACGTACTACACGCAGATTTCACTAGTATTGTACAAAAATTAAATACATTGAGTATAGGGCAGTTAATAAAAGTTGATGAATTTATATATTAAAAGTAACTAAATAGAACGATGTTAAAAACTAATCAAATATTGTGAATCAATGATTCAGTATCCTAACAGAAAGTGTGATTCTGGAAGGCAAAGATAACTCACTAATAGTTCAAAATTAGTAAAATTGGAAGGAAAAGAAAAGAAAATCCCTCAAAAGGTTGTAATTTGTAAAGTAAAATCTTGCGTTTCGGCATTGCAAAAAAACGTCAAAAAACTTTCAATGTGTTGAAAAAGCAAAAAATTGCTTGTTTGTTTGCTTTTTTAGTATTGAAGAAGAACATTTGCATATATTTGTATGCATATATCTGTCCATCTTGCCGAATTCAGGCATGGAATGTTTGCTTTGAGTGACAGACTTGCTTGTTTTCGACATTCCCAGGTGAGTTTTCAAAAGTTTCACGTACTTATTCACTTGGCGTTGCTCTAACTTTAGCTTACACTTTGCACAAGCAACAAGCGTATCAGTGAAAAAAAGAAACGCAAATGCTACAATCAAAATCTAATTTTTATTTGCTTGAATCAAATCGTTATTCAATTTCCGGCGTTTTTTAAATTTTCTGTCCGTAATTTTCATTCAAACTTTTTACAGCACTTTAGCCACCTAATAAGGTCTTGTATATTGGTTTCAATACTTGCTGTATTTCTCTTTTCCATACAACTTTTACTCACTTAATGGTTCATTTGCAAGAAATACATTTTTGAATGCATTTTTATTTTAAAATATTTTTTTTCAATTAACTGTACGGAACAAAAAAAGACATCCTATTTTAATTAATCTTTCACTGTGGACAGCTTTTAGGCTCTGTGAGTGATCAAAAATATTTTAATTTCACATTTGTAAAACTTTTTCAATTTTTTAAATTACACTTTTATCCAACCATTTATTCTTCCATTCTCTCTTGCATGCATTTATTATTTTTCTAATATAATTTGCAGACTTAACATTTGATTTTCTTTCTTTAAGTTTACATTTGTAATTTTTTTGCTTTTATAATTTGGAAAGTTATATTATTTTTGAAAAATAAATAAAGCATTCATCATAATAGCAATGCAATAAGAACAAATTTGTGTAGTCAAAATTAGAATAACGCAAAGTCATAAAGCAAAGCGTAGAAGTGGAAAGTAATGAAAGAGATTATTACTTGTGCTGCTAGCGGCATATTAGGAGAACTGTGTGGAGGTCGCAAGCTTTCTTCAAGGAATGTATTGTCTGAAGCGAAAGTATACTTGAAGTATTCAGTTAAAAAAGTTTATTTTGTAAAGTTTTATTCTGAAAAATATTATAAAATTTTCACTTGCACAATTTTTTCTTTGTTTATTCAATCACTTACTAAACTAACCTGCATTGGTATGATCTACTCCAACTGCATGTGTTTCAGGTGGGATAATAAATGATGGATGTGGAAGTGTTGTTGCTGTTGACGGTGGTGGTGGTGGTGGTGGTACTACATCAGGACCAGAAGTACCGTAGTTATCACAAAAAAATGGCAAAGGTAATCGACCGTAAAATCCATCACTACTACCATCTAAAAAAATTAGCAAACATTTTGCAGCATTATTTAATGACAAAAGTAACTAAATGATAATTTTTAAGGCGAGTTTTAATTATCATTTTCTTCTGTGCCTTACCAAAATTTAAAATAAATCATACAGTAATACTTTCGCAAAAGTTGTGAAGGTAATAAATCTCTGAATATCAGATAAAACTAAAACATTAATAAAGCTGAAAATGATGTTAAATTTAAATAAATTATATTAATTTGCGAAACTAAAAGCTTGAAATTATGAAGGAGTCTTTGCTTTTTTAGAGCTTCCAAATGATTTCTGATAACAAAGTTTATCCAACAAATAGCGATTTGTATTCAAATGGAAAGCTTAAAATAGTGAAGTGAATATTTCTTTGATGCCATCAATAAGTTCTGCCTGAACTTCAATCGTTTATCCTTCTATGCAATCACCCCTTGCCCTTGCCAAGAAGTGTTAATCCTAACTTCACCTGTCTATTTTCATATTTTATGGCGCAATATGCAATCAGCTTACCCTCAATTGTACTACTCATTACGCCAATAAAATCCATTCAGTGACTTACCTCACATATTTATCCTAAACTGACTTTTATCCCCAGCCTATCATATATGTCCACATGTATGTCACCAACGATCAATAATACTCATTTTCACCTGCTTAAACACAATTTTATCCATTTATTGAATAATTTATTTCGCCGTCTAATTTTCCGATTTATGACTTAATCAGCTTACAGAAGGAAAGTAACCTTAGACATTAAGAGCTTAGACTATAATTTGACTATTACTTCATGCTAGCATGCTTCCATTTTTGTAAATCACTTTATTTTTTGACTTCAAAAATTTTGAAAATTGCTTTAGTTATAGTAAATATTGATAAAAATACCTTGCGAATAGATATTAGTTTGTGGTACGCATAAGTCATCCCTACCGGACGTCTTGTTGCGTCGTACTGGTCGATAACCACCAAATCGTAATTGTTTCATGCGCCGTTCTTTGCTGCGACGATTTTGAAACCACACCTTAATTTCGAGAAATCAGTGAACTGATTTTTTTTGAGCTGATTTACATTGATACTTGGCACAGGTAAGACAAGTAAAGTTGAGCAGTTTATGCTAATTGTGCAAAATCATCATATAAATATTCAACAGTGAGCTGGTTCGATTCAATGAATGGATTTTTCGCTGTGTTTCATTTTGTAAATAATAATTTATGAGTTTTATCAAGAAACGACTATAATTTGTTTTCAGTATTTGTAGCAATCACATTTTGTTGTTGTTCCACAATTTCTACTTTTTAAGTGTGAATTATGAAAATATAATCAACTCATTAAGTTGGTGCTAGTTTTGGTATTTCGAGACAGTTCTGGAACTGATCAAAATATGTCCAATATTTGAATCAGTTTAATCTTAAACTGCAAGAAAACCGTCTTCCTTTCATTCAAGTTATATTTGTTGGCTTCTATTTTTCAGCAATTGTACTTGACAGTTCCTTATTTTCAACTGATTCAATTTTATTTTGGTTTCTACTCAAATTTAAAATTTCACACAGTGAATGGTTTTTGTTCATTTTCATTCCAATAAAATAGCAGTGATACCACACGGTTTGATTAAATTTTGTCTGTACAAGTGCCTAAAACTTTCATTGTGTCTGATTTACCTTTTAACACATTAACACATATCTTGTATCTAATTTATGATCTTTAGATCATAAATTAGATACATGAGTAGTGACACCGCAGTGGTATTAATTGGATAAAAACTTCAATTTGGTGACAAGCGTATATCATTGCATTTAGCTTATAATTTGTGCGAATAAATTTAATAAAAAATGCAATAAATATTGTTAATTTATTCTTTTCCACACTTTGCCAATTTTGGAATATATGAGATTATTCCTCAAAAGTTGCCATTTTCTGATATATTCCCTTTTTCTACCAAAGGTGCATGCATCATTACATACAAATCTAATTTTATCTCACGATAAAAAGGTTTAGTTCGCTTTGCATATACATATATATATGTGTTGGATACGGTAAATGGTGATGATGACAGTTAGTCCCAAGAGAGAGGCAGGTGTGAATGCAATGGAAAAAAGTGCGTGATAGGGAGAGAGAAGAAGAGAAAGTATACTAAATTCCGCATAAATTTTAAGGCTAAATGAGTAATTGATGAACAGATAATAGATAGAAAAGATCTAGCTTGACGCTTTTTTCAAACTAGCCAAAAATAACGAAAATAGTTAGTAAGCAGACTAGAAGACAAGAAAGAAGAAGTTTCTAGTAAGGTAAAGAAGCGAAGAGATTCTTTGCAGGAAAGCAGCTGTAAACTGATCGTAGAACAGATATGGCCATTTCAATTATATCAGAGAAGGATTTACGCTAGCGAACCGTGTAATTTTCTGCATGTAAAAGCTAAACTCAATTTTATTTCCCCCTTGGCCTAGCTGAGCTGCTAGTCCAAGACTAATTTTCAATTTTTACTCGGCAATGACTTACTTTAATTGAGTGTAAAAGGGTATAGAGGAAGCAGGCTAACATAGATAAATCGCCATTTAATTACTTTTTAATTCAATTTAAGTTAATTTACGTGAATTAAATTTTTTAGCGAGGAATAAAATGAAAAGTTTGTCAAGGACAGTAAGGTATTACCTTGGCCTCACTTGTGCTTCAACTTTTTTTTTGCTGTGTAAACTGTGAATACGGTAAGAATTGCCAATCTTTTAAAAGTAAAAAAATTTAGTACTGACAAATCAATTGCTTTTGATTACTGAACTAAACTTTGCAAGCCTAATTTCATTCAGATGATACCGGTTTTAGCAGACATCACACTTGATAAATATGATCATGAATGCAAGATTAGATTTTTAAAAAGTAATGAAATTTAGGTACAATTTAAAAACAAAATCTTTAATGGTATTAAATTCCAGGGAATAAAATGATTTGTAATCTGCAACTTAAGTTTTTTGAACTAAAAATCTTTTTGGTTTAGTACTGACAGTTTATTTATAGTTTGTTTGAAACAACTGGAAATTAAAAAGTCAGGGATATGAAACAATATTTGTATACTTAAATGGATAATATAAAAATCTTAAGGATATCTGCGTTCAATTGAATATTTACCTTAACTTAATTATAAATAAGTTGTTGAGTTTTTTGAAAAAAGTATGGCTGAACTAAAAATTACCGATTGAAATGCTTAATACTTTGATAAAAAACAAACCCAAAAAAACATCATTTTCGTTGAACACAAAGATCATTTTTTCTGAGATAAAATCGACGAAAATTTTTGCATTTCTATTCTTATTAGCCAAATTATTCAGGAAAATGTTGCATTTTTTGATAAATATAAATGTAAAAGGCAAATACTTAAAAACTTCGTAACTTGCTCAGACTTAAATTATGAATTGGAAGCACGCGAAATCGAATCATTACCTGTATTACTCGCATGTTTAAACCAGTTTCTTGGGCTAATTGTTCTCTAATATGCCTAGTTGGCTTCGGCGTTGAAGCAAATGCTGCTTTTAACGTATCTAACTGAAAGCTTCAAGACTTGATACACGAAAGTTTAAATTTTAAAGCTTGAAAAAGTACAGTTAAATGTTGCAATGTATTTTAAAAAAATACGAAAGATAAATGCAAACTGTCACATAAACATAACTGTATTTACAAAAAAAATTATATGATTTTATGTTTGAGCTAAAATCTTTTCAGTTTAAAAAACCAAAAATAGCTTTAAAAATGTGAGAATCCATTATATTTGCCATCAATAAATAATAATCTATTTACTTCTTAGAGTTTTCATCAGATTTTTTGAAGATTACATTGAAATCAATTGTGTTGCTGTGAAATGCAAGAGGTAATCTTCCTAGAAATACCTGTTTAGCTTTAATTGTTGTTCGAGGTCCTCTCCTCTTCGCTGATCCCGAAATATCATCAATTTTATTAGCTGAAATCGATTCACCACTTGGGATTTCTTGCTGTCCAGTAGAATTTGATTCTTCTGTTAGCAAGAATGAATGATTATTTCAATTTACTAAAACTGTGAAATGAGGCTAAAAGTTTAACAATTTGATCATTTTATGTGATTTTCCCAAACTAAAGGTAATAATCTATTTGCATATTAAAGACCATTTTATTCCTGCAAATTGAAGCACTGACCAACTTCATCGCTTGCATCATCACATTCGTCATCGATATCCTCTGAGCCACATTCCGAGCTACCAGCACCGCAGAATAAATCTCAAAATAAGCAGTTTACAATAAAGCCGCTTTTATGAAAGTTGATAGAACCAGTTAAGGCAACTTAAATGTAATCATTTCGTTTCGTTTTCATTTTTAGTACTGATTCAACTGCTTGCTGATTGAGTGCAAGTGATAAAATGTCAGTAAGTTATCATTTTCATCAACAAGTAATCTGCACTTTATTCACTTTTATTATTAATGTATAGAAAACTCATATTCCTGTAAAGCTTTGATAAAATGTAATATTTAAATGAAATCTTTTATCCACAATAAATATGGGCAGAATAAAATCACAAATTTATAATTTGTACTAATTAAAAACTTGGCATTTTATCACCTGCACTAAATCAACAAAATAAAATAGCCAATAGATATGAAAGTTTTGAGATGAAAATACCTTTTATATTGTTTCCAATTTTTTTAGTCGCTAAAATAATATTAAAAAGTTTTAACGGATTTTTTTTTGAATAGCACAGCATTTTTCGATAGCTTTTTTTGATTGGCTTAATTAAATGTCCAAATGGTCACTATTAAGTATATATCAGCAACTACCATTTTTCTGCATTATTTCGGGCTAAAAGGTCACAAAAATAGCACGCAAATCTCTTCGTGCAAACTTTCAAAAATATTGTGTGGACTTTGAAAATATATAATTTTATTTATTTTTATGATTGCTTTTGTTTCTTAAAAGTTCAGAGTCATTTGCAAGATATCAGTTGTAATACACGTAAGTTACCCTTGAAAGATAAAGGAAATGCAGGCAGTAGTAAGCAGTTTTTTGTTTTCTAATAGAGAATAAAATTAATAGCTATTCAATTTTGCGTCTTCACGAAAATAATTATTCCAAAAGAGAAAATGAAAAATTAATGGAAAGCAAAATAAATGACACTTTGGCGTTTATTTTTTCCAAATTTCGGAAAAAAATGACTTAATTGTGATCATTGCGTATTTAGGATGACGGGCGTATTTCTGAGGACGACAGTTTTTTAGATAGAACGATGAAGAGGACAGTGACAGAAATGTTCGGAAGTGAAGCAAATACAAAATTTGTAGTTGCAAATTTCAGGAACTTTTCATAACTCGAATAATGATTGATGAATACTTTTTGTATTATTTATTTGAAAAAAGTGAATTTGATTAATTTTCTATAAATGTAAAGCAATTTACTTACAAAGTTTTTTAATTTAAAATTAATCAAAAAAAAGGAACGCTAATTAAATTAAATCGTAAGCTTATTATCAAATTCCCACTTGTAAAGTGCTGAAATCGATTCAAAATTTTTTCATATTTGTAATATTTATATTTTTTTGACAAATTTTAAACTGAAAATGATAAAAATTTGGAGTGCAAACTTTATTCAAAACATTGAATGTGAAATCTTTAATCATAAATTTTTAAACTTAGTTGTGGAAAAATATTCCTGAAAGTATTAACTTTCTTATGCACAGTACAGCAAATTTCGGCTTTGTACAGCAGCTGTTAGAATGGTTGACATAAACTAGGAAATTGGTAGTACTGAATGTCTTTTGAACAGAAAAGAAACGCTAATTAAATTAAAGCTAAGCAGGAAAGTGTCTTTGGGTCAAAGGGCTCGCAGATGGTTGACCATAAACAGACCGATAAACAAAGAAATTCGATAAAAGTTTAGCTGAATAAGACTGAATAACAATACGGTCAAATGCTGTCAAAAAATTCATAATAAGAAATATTATTAAAACGTGAAGAATACTGTTAAAGCTATTTGTAAACAAATTACGAAAATACTTATATGTGCGAAAATTTGTATTGCCAATAAATAAAAAATTGAGTTATATACAGTGCAGCACTTTCTGAGACAGTACAAAAAGCATGTAAAGTACAAATTGCTAATGAATAAAATTTGACTCATTTGCATTTGCAATCAAACTGTCAATTAGAATATTTAACTTAAAAATTGCAGAATAAACTAAATAGCAAACAGAAATACTGTTTAGAAAGTAAATCAAAATTTACAGTTAAAATTTATTTAGAAATAATTAGTGCAAATAGTTCACTAACAGTGATATATACATTAATATAATTAATTTTCAAAGCTGATGTTTTCTAGTCCCTATTAATGACTGATAAAAAATATCTCTTCTCTGATGTCCCTTCTTTTATTTTTATTCATACTGTTATTCTTCAATTTGTTCTCTTCAATATTGGCTTTCTCAATTTCCATTTCAACTTTAATTACGCTTAGAATTTAGTTACTGTATTCCAATTACAATTCTGCTTCCTTCAACCCTTGTTAAGCTCAATTGTGATTATCTTTACCGTATAGTCTGCACTTAATTCCTCGTACTTTGTTTTCACATATCCTCTTCTTAACTTCGAAACATATTATTGACTTCACTATTATTTTAATCATTTGTTTTAAACTTACACGAAGTTTCTCCTGCACAAAAAAGGACTTTTCAGGATTTTTTTTCAAATTTATCTTTTTTATTTCTAAAAAAAGGTTTAATTTGAAATTTTGAATGAAAAGCGTAAGATTTCAAAAAAACCTTTTTTTAATAAATGACTTTTCAGGCATTGAAATTTGATTTAAGACAAATAATTGTTGTAAATGAATAATATTACTTAATATTCCCTTTTTTGAATTTGTATTTTATTTTGAGTCATCAAAATTTTTGACTGAAAATCAATTGTAGAAGACTTTTTGCGTGGACTTTTTTTAATCCATTGAGACCAGTTTTGGGAAGAATCAAATCTTCCATAACACAAACAGAGTTTTGAATTTCTAGAACGGAATACGCACTACAAATATACATACATGTATGCGCATAACGCATATACCGTGAACAGTGAAGATAATAACGGCTATACTTGTAACAAAAAAATAAAAATTTAATCATTTTCACTTTTTTTGTGTCTTGTCTCAAATTCAGTACAGTAGTCTCCTGCTGTGATTTGGTGGGAGGAAAAAAACTGAATTAAAAATTGCATCAAAAAAAGAGAATTAATTTTTCACTTATTTTTACTGTATGCGCAAGTAACCAAACTTTTCGCTCAGTTTAATAATTATATCTAACCTTTTAGATCTATTATAAGAAGCAAAAAAAGAATTTATATTGCACCAATTAAAGAAAATGATTTTTTGAGGTAATATTAATCAGATGCATATAACTGTAAAAGCATTCACACAAACTGTAAAAGCATTCACAGAAAATGATTTTTTGAGACAAGACACACTTATTAAAATTTCGATAAAATTCAAATATTTTCAAAAATTTTTAATATTGTGATAAAATTTGATGAAAATCAATTGTAGAAGACTTTTTGCGAATCTTTTCTTGAGCAAAAGGTAGCATAAAAATATAATTGATATCATTAACATCTCAACAAAATAATGAGACTTTTTAAAATGCTTTTATAAGAATTCAAAATTGTGTTTTAGTACTCAGTTGAAACTAAACTGCAATTAATTATATAATTTAAACCAAAGTTACAATATCGAAATGTATGCAAAATTTGTGAAGAAAACATTTCTTTATGCTATTCTTTTCTCAAAAATATGTATTTCAATTAAAGTAGTGATTTCTGAAGAAAGATTCAGAGAAACGTTGTAGAAACATTCCACTCAAAAACTCTATTTAATTGTCAAAACTTAAAAAAGCGAATTATATTTTGAGACTATTTTGGCTCTTTTGATCTATCTGTATTATCTCAGGGATGTTCAAGTTTCTGTAATTTCTGCTAAATTTGTAGAATTCATGAAAAACTCAAAAGAAGAAATAAAAATAGAAAACGTTATGAATCGGTTATTTTTTCACAAAGCACAGACGAATAGTCATCAATTCTGATTTTTCCTTTTATACAATCTTTATTTGCTCCTTCTTTTCGACAATGAAAATTTTCCATTTTTGGAATGTCAAAAGCAAATTTTGCCTGATTTTTTGTTATGAAAAATTTATCAAATTTAAGCCAAAAAAGTACGTATAACATGATAATATTCTATTTAAAAAAATTGCATTCTGTATTTGTAAGGTAGTACTTCTGATGTTCGATTTGTCAGAAATTCTTGCATAATTATTTATTTCATAAAATATCTGTCTTTTTTCTTAGTTAAATCTTTAATATAGCTATAAAAGAGAGAATGAAGAAATGGACAACGTTATGGCAGCATATACATTGAAGATAAAAATTATATTAAATTGATAATATATAAAATATCAAATATTTCATGTCCGATATTTATTACATATTAGTATGCAGTGAATCGGAAGTAAACAAAAATTAGTGGAATCTGAACAACATTATAAGTTACTTTGGTAATTCCTAACTTTTTCTTTGATACTGTGTAAATGTTGCATAGATAAGTAAATTCACAAATGTTATTTATTCATTTCAAGCCAAAATTTACTTTTTCCATTTTAAATTTCCATTTTTGGGTTTGGAATCAAAAACTCAATTAAATTTTAACAGAAAAAAGAAATTAGTAATTAAAAATTTATAGACTTTAAGCGCTACAATGAAACTTTTCTATTTAATAAAGACCTATTTCGTGATTATTCACTTTTTTAAAAATAAACCAATATAAAGTTTTTGTATGTAACACTTTCGTAAAATACCAAATTTCAAGGCAGATATCCAATTTAAGCTTGTATCATTCAAATTCTTGTTCAATAATTATAGCATGCTATATATTCAGATGAGATTCATTGAATTTAAGATTTCTAAATTATCAGTGGCATAATATGAAGTTCACTTCGGTACCATTATAAGTTGCAAGTGAAAAGCAAAAGGCAGCTGTAGATAACGATAATAGAAAATCCATCCGGTCTAAGCATTTCATCGTTTTAAAAACAATGCAATCTAAAGAAACCGCTTGGCAAATGGCAGCTTTTAGCTATCAAATTTGCATATATTGGCCAAAATATCATGACTTGAAGAAAAATTTAAGAAAATAAAAAAGCAGCAAAAGCACACATTTTTGACGAATTACTTTAAATTTATTAGAAATGCAAAGAAGCT